GGATGAAGCACTTGAGCTTGCTCCATCCGTTAGTTGTTTTATGCCATAGACCTGTAACCGTTGACTTAAGTAAGAGATTCTGCTTATGATTCCTTCAATGTCTGACTTGACCTTGTGACGCATCCATCCTTCTTTGCAGATGCAAGCAGATCTTTTGACGAAATTTGAAATACCTCCCCTCCTTTTGGATGCAATTTTGAGAGCAAAAGTTTCAATAACATCCTCAGCATCATAAGCAATCTCTCTAATTTCAGCAACCCACATACGAACCATCTCATTCTCAGCTTGCCTCGAATCTGCCTCTTTTAAGAAGCTCTTCATCCAAACGAGCTCCATTTGCAAACGCTTAACTTGATCATTCACGCCCCGCAACAATTTAGCTTCTTGAATTACCAAGTCGCCAAGTCTTGCGGCAACATTGGACACAACAGCTTCCGCCATATGTCAACGCTCGTCTTTCTCTCAAGTCTCAACAAAGAAAATCTGGTGTTTTCGTCGTTACATGATTCACGCGTTCGCTTTATGCTAACACTAACGAATTATGGATCTTGATTTGTGTTACGTTGGGCCTAAGCCCATTATTTGTTGCTAACCACACAATTAACTAGAAAGAACAAACAGTTCCCGTTTATACATAGACATTAGACAATGGGATGGATGAATTTCTTACTTTTTTTATAAAAGCCATAAGGAAATCATAAACAAAGGGTCAATACTTCCACAACATAACAAATCAATGCAAGTCTAGTCTTAGGCTTCATTGTCGTCAATCCACTCGAGTCTCCACACAAGTAGAAAGAGCTGCTGCAAATTGGGGATATCTTTCAAGAGAAACAAGCTTGTCGCTTCCTTTTCACGACTTCACCTGGAAAACGTAAAGATATTAGATTTAACTGCCAGTCTGCAGACTTGAAGGAGCATACAGGGCATGTATCTCCTTGCAAAGATGCTAATTTAGTTGAAACCAAGTGTAACAAAACAAACTTAGCATCCCCTTTAAGATTTTTCTTTTTTTTTTTTTGAAAGACAAATTTATTTATAAGGTCTCATAAAGGAGACATAAGCCTTACACTTAAAGACAAAAGAATCCTCGCATGCGAGGATTAGTTAAGCATCAGAAGTGGTCTGATGTCCCTACAAAAGAAAGGGTGACATTACAGTATTCAAGTTAATGTTGTAACAGCCCACAGTCTTAAGAATAAGAGAACCCTGTTCCTACATAAACCAGCATGTCTAAATGGACCTATCAACATGAAAGAGATGAGGAACCCCTATCAGTAAAGACAAAGAAAGTGTTGAAATTATCAACTCCTAGAACACCAGCTTTAATAAATCAGGAACAGAAATATTTGCAGCAAAGTCCAACGTGCTTACTTTTGTATGTGTTTATGTGCAATCAATAAGATATAGGGAAGAACTTGGACAAGGCATAATAGTTTCCCTCCAAGATGCAAATGAACTCTTGAAAACATTATCCCCAGATTACAACGCCTAAAAGAATAGAGAATCAAAAACGGTCTTTCTAATACTCGCTTAAACATGCTTGAATCTTATTTAGAAAAACATATGCATGATGAAGAATTGGATGGTTTTTGAGTGATTTGATAGATGTTGTTAATACTAGTAAGAAGTATTTATAGGCCTGAAATAGTTCTTTAGACACTAATTTATGTATGAATACCTTTCTTTTCAATGATTAATATACTTTTAAAAATGAAAAAATCACTTTAATGGTTTAGATTTTTCAAATCTGTTTGCATGAAATTCGACTAAACATTCATGATAATCAATGAATTATTGTTTGACTTAATCGACTAACTGATCAACTAATTTGCTCTAGAAACAGAACCCAATCCTATAACCCTGCTATAACTTATTAAAAGCAAAGGTTAGTCGGATAACTTGTTGAAAAGTTCCAACACTCGATATTTGATCAACATAACAACTCAATCGAATAATAAGCTTTTATGCACTTTCTTTAATTTTTTTATAAGTAACACATGTATATATATATACCTAATAAACAACACACAACACCTACAACAGTAGGACGGTAAATACATTGTTAAAGACCTAAGGAACCAAGACTTGTTTGGCATCAGAGTTCATAAATGGCACTGATCTCTCTTCTGCCCCTCCTGTTTTTTCCATCAGTGCACATATATAGCACGAAGGAGCTAAACCATTGATGACTCCACCACATCGGACATGGTTCTTTAAGCAGAAGCTCTACTAAATCATTGTTCACTATCATGAATAAAAAGAACATATACTCAATGGAATCTCCTTTTAAAGTAATATATACTAAGTAGCTGTGTTTTCTGCCAAACTATTATTGCCTCTGTGATGCTTGGAGGTTGGGCTTATTGGCCATAGGTGTTTTTCTCATGATGAAATTTGTATAAAGTTCTAGTTTTTGGTCAGTTTTGTTGTAGCAGGGTTTCCTGCTTCAAAAGTAGATATTCCAAAATTTCTGTTACAAGATTATCTAATCATAATCAGCATCACAATATGATAGAAGGCACATGTTGGACTCTGCAGGAATCTTCTCCTCCTTCAACGAGATTATCTTTGAATACTTTTTTTAAAAAAAATTGGATTTTGGGTCCAAAAAGAAGAACATGAAATAAAAAAAGAAAACATTTAACAAATCAATTTTAATCCATTAATTATCAAAAGAAAGTAGACTTATAGTTTGGTGGTAAACGATTTGCCGAAGTAGTACCTAGAAAAATAATCAGAATTTTGAAATATGGTAAGAAGGCACATGTTGGACATTGTAGTAATCCTCTCCCCCTTCAACCAGTTTATCTTTGAATTCTTTTGGCATATCGTCAATCTTCAATTCTTTCAGGGTTGTGATGAACCTCAACTCATTTGGCAGCATCTTCAACATTTTACAATTTGCAATCCTCAGATGGTGTAGATTGGGCATGGCTCCTTCACTCACCCTCAATTCCTCTAAATTTCTTTGAGAAATAATACTCAAAGAGTTGAGCAGAGGAAAACCTTGTGCGGAACAAATCATCACTTGTCCGCCGAACGCATCAGCTTTTAATTTGAGAATACTCAGATTAGGTAGGTTCTCTAGTGTTGGCAATGGATCTTCATCAAGTCTAACCGTAGCCAAGCAAATGTAAGCAATATTTGAAGAGATGTGCTGAGGTTCCGGTAACTTCCTTATCTCGACAGATAAATGCAACTCACGGATATTAAGGCAGCTAGAGAGCAGGCATGTTAAATGCATTGGATCTATACTTTTAAATAGACCCCAAATGGACAAAGATCGAAGATTTTTACTTGTGATGACCAGCGGGTTCAAATTCAAGTCCTCTCTAAAGTTTTCAACAATGAAAGGAGTAACTTTTTAAGATATTTCATACGGTAAATATCTCCAAGATAACAATTCTTGGTGTTGAGATTCACAAGCGTTTGCAGATATTTCAAAGTATCCAACTTCAACTTGGATTTTGTTCTCAACTTGTCTGGGTATACAAATGCCTCAACCGCTCCATTTTCCATAAAAAACATTAGGTATTTGAACTAACCAGCTAGATCTTGATAACTCTATTATATAGAGTTACCATAGGCATCTATGAAGCTTGAATTTTGCTATGTCTTTTAGTTTTTTTTTTTATCATTAGGTAGTTTTTAGTTTTCTTTTTAGAAATAATTTAATTTATATGATGCCAAGTTCTATTCATGTAAGTTTAGCTTAATTTCTTGTCAAAATTCCTCAATTCAGCTTCTGATTATTTAATACCTTAATGTTGAAGGACATGCAAAGACTTGGAGCATGAATGCAAAGGAAGGTGCAATTAAGCTTAAAAGTAATCGAACATGCTGAAGTTTTTAAGGTATAAATTGAGTTGTTGAAATCGATTAAGGTGAATTTTGAACCAATGGAAAGCCGAGAGGATGAGCTACAACTTTGATGTTTAGCACTTGGCCCAAATCAAAAGGAATCATGATCAAAAATGAAGCTGAAAGTGAGCTTCATAGCAACTCTGCACGAGGCAGTTTGAAGCAGAAAAACTTCCCCTACAGAAGCTGCAGCACCAATTTCCCAGCGCTGTAGCGCTGCCAAACTCCCTTCCCAGCAGTTGCAGCGCCAATTTCCCAGTGCTGCAGCGCTGCCAAACGCCCATTCCAGCAATTCCAGTGCTGCAGCACCAAGTTTTCAGTGCTGCAGCAAATATTCCTAGGACAAGCTAAAAAAAGAGAGGGTATAAATAGAAAGTTTTGCACTGAAAAAGAAAAGGATGGGGAGAGACCATTTTTGACAAAAGGAGGCAAGAACAAAGAGGGAAAAAGAAGAGGAATCAAGAGCTGGAAGATTCAAAAGCTGCAGAAAAACATTTTCTCACTCTAGATTTGATTCTCTCTTTCTTTCTCTTTTTGTAGAATAATGATTTTGTTTGTTGAGCTAAGTTTTAATCTAGGATTATGGTGGATGCTATTGTATAGTTCGAATACTTGAGATTTTTCCTCTGCTTGCTTTTATGAGAATATCAATATTTATTCAAAATCATACTTATTGTCTCATTTGTTGCTTAATCACCAGCAAGTTGAGTAAGGAGTTTTAGACGAGATCTGAGAAGGATAATCTAAAAAGACCTAAGTTTGAGTAACATATGTTCATCTCATATTAAGAAATTAAATGGGTGATTAATTAATAGGATAGACATATACCTATTAATCATACATAGTCACTATAGGTCTTAAACTTAGTGAGCTTAGCTTTAATTAATGTTTTATAGACATATAAATAGTTAATGAAGCTAGACAATTGTGTGATAACTCGACGAAGTACCATGCATGCTTAGGGAACCTAGACTAACATTGATTCTCATAAAAAGTAAGTAGTTGATTGATCTTATATTCTTGCAAAGCAATAGCTGAAACTATAGTCTTAGACCTTAATTATATTGTTTCCTCACTACACATTTTATTTGCAATCTTTAGATTAGAGTAGACTTTTAGAGTAAATTTTATTTCAATTTCAACAACTTGTTCCTCTTGTTGCTTGGATAAAACTTAGCTTGTTACAATTTTAGTAATTAGTAACAAATAGTAAATCAGCTCCTCGAGAGATCGATAACTCTACTTATCACTATATTACTTATTGCGACCATGTGCAATTACGCGTAATCCTTACTTGTATTTCACAATTAAATTTTGAGCACAATCCATATCAAGCAAAAGATTTATTTATTTAAATATTAAGCAACAGATCTTAACTCCAAGGTTTGCAAGTACCTTAATTTGGTTATAGATGATGGCAACCTTGCCACCTGTGCGTCATTCCCTAAACTCAAATATCTCGAATGGATGAGATTACCTATATCACCTTGTAATTTGCAGTCCAGTGCAAGCTCCGCTCCTTCAAAATCGACGATTCTAAGCAATTTGAAATTGTTGCAAATGTATGTCGTTAAACCTCCAAGTTTATAAGATATTTGAGGTTCTGTGACCTTCGCATAAACTCTATTGAATAGATGTTATCAGAGAACAATAACGACCTGAGATGTGAGTTTTTAATACTATTTATCATAACAGAATCATGCATGGTAAGCCTGCGAACTTTACCAATTGCAGAGGACCAGATGCTACCATCAGCTTGCTCCATTTTAAGACGATCAACGATCAACAAGCAGGAATCTCTGATAAGATCGTCATGCATCCCACATGTTTTTATCTTTAAACTTGCTTCTCCTTCTTCCACTAACGCCATGTATCTTTCTACAAGCTCATTTAAGTAGCATTCTGCCACACCTTCTATTACTTGTTCATCTCTTTCACTTTCTATAAGTGACACAATACCTTCTGCTACCCATAATTTGATCATTTTAACAACAGGAAATCTTCTGAAAAGACACTCAAATACTCCAAAAAGCATGATTTTAAATAGGGTGGCACATTGTCATTTACGCTACCATTTGACGCGAGGACCTTGAGGTAAGAGAATATTGACTCCATTGCTTTGATTAAGTTGCATGGAAGATTGAAGTGACGTGGCCGACAATTAATAGATGACCTTTGTATGTGAAATGAGTCAGGAGAACAACAAATTAATAATATTCATCAGGGAATCCGTTTATTCCCTTTCACAACCCCTTGCGGTTTAAGTAAAGAATGAGAATATAACAAAAAAATTAAAGTTTTTTCACTGAAGAAACCTGAATGCCAAAAGAACTTAACAAGAGGATTAAAGTTTATGCCTATCCCGTCCTGAGGGGAAAAAAAAAACAAAGAAAGTTTCTTTTCGTCCACTCCTATTTTTTTTTAATTTTTTTTCTTCATTACTTTAACAAATACAATGAACTGTTAAAAGTTTATTTAATTTTGCCTTATACATATTTAATCATTTATTATCTTTTCTAAATAAACAAATGTTTGGCTGTGGGGAGGAGATTTAAGATTAATCCACGTCATCCTTGAATACTAGAGTTGTCCACACCCAAACTTCACTACAAAAATAAAAATATATATAATACTTAAGGAGCTTCTAAATTATTTAGAAAATTTTTAATATTTTATTTCGTTCAATTAAATTTTCATACTCTTATTTCGAGTCAAATAAATTATTATTAATGATTGATTAATTATTATTATTAATAACGTCATTTATTATTATACTGATATATAATAATAGATAATAATATGACATGATAATATTATGATATAATATTTTCACGTTCTACAACAATACCATATTAACACTAGGTGAGATTAAAATGATAAGAAAAATTTTTGATTAATGATAATTAATCAATTATTAGTCGTAAAGACATATTTGACTTAAAATAAAAACACAAAAATTTGATTAAATGTAATATAAAAATAAAAAATTATTTAAAATTTTTTAAATATTATACCAAAAAAATCTTTTAAAAAAACAAATAGAAAAAAAAGAAAACCACCGCCAAGAGAGGTTTAAATGGCAGTACCCTTAAGTGTCGTTCCATGCATTAAACGGTTTTTCCCACGTCCCTTAGCAAGAAGTGGTTTCACCCAAAGGAACCTCTCTCTCTCTATCAGAATTTTGTGGCATTTCCAGGTATCGTTTCATCATTGTTCTTTGTCTTTTTTTATTTTTAATTGTCTTTTTCCGATAAACAAAATTCAAAAGAAGAGTCTAAAGGGAGCAAATTTAATGTAATCAATAGCAATCCCTTTGTTTGAGTCCTTCTACTCTATATCTTTGTATTGGGAATCTTTATTCATTCATTCTCTTGCTTTTTAATGATTCCTCCTTCAAATTTCAGGTTGAAATTTTTGATAAACTCAACAGCAAAGGTCAATCAATTTTGTTATTCTCGTATATCTAAAAGGAAATCCAAGAAGATGGGATCCTTTCTTTCGAGAACCCTTCTGTATGTAACCATTGACTAGCGACTACCAACTAAATGGAATTGTCTCTTTTACTACCACCATATGTTTCCCATTTTGCTAATTTACCAGGAAACCTGATACTGATTGAATCGTTTTCATAGATTGGCTTTTGGTTATGCTTACCCGGCTTACGAGTGCTTTAAGGCAGTGGAAAAAGATGAGCCAGAAATTGAGCAACTTCGATTTTGGTGTCAATACTGGTATAAACATTTCTCCCTTCTGCAGTTTTAATCCTCCCCAACAAATTAAATGGCTGACATTTTACTAAATTATTATTGCATTCTGTAGGATTTTAGTTGCTATCCTGACAGTTTGTGGAAGAATTGGAGATGTCTTCATCTCATGGTATTATCCCTTACGTTCATAACAGTTAGATGGTTTTTCTTTATGGGCCTGTAAACTCCTGACAGTCTTTGTTATCTTGTCTTGACGAAGGTTGCCATTGTACAATGAAGCAAAATTGGCGTTGGTTATTTATCTTTGGCATCCCAACTGGAAAGTACGCATCCAACATTTGAAACTTGAAACGTTTTGGTTCGGTAATCTATATAAATTAACCTTCTGAAGTCGTTCAAATTATTTCATTTCTTGTTTTTGCGACCACTGTTTCAGGGAACAGCTTATGTTTATAATTCTTTTCTTCGGCCTTACGTCGTAAAACATGAGACACAAGTCGATGGAAAATTGTTTGAGCTAAAGCTTAAGGCAAGGGAGGTTGGAAGTCTTTGTTGGCATAGGGCAATGAATTATGGTAAGACAATGTCTTTAGACATCTTGCAGCATTTGTCTTCTCAAAAAGGATCGGACCTTCCTCTTGAGCAGGTATACATAGATTTGTAGAAGTACTACTGGTTTAGTTTATAATCTTAATTTCCGTACTACCATACATTAGTAGATGGATATTTGATTTGATGCTCTAAATAATTGCAACTCCTATCATTGAGAATGTGCTGCAAAGTTGTCAATTAACTTGTTTCGTGATGCTGATAAAAGACTTTATAAGGATTTCAATTTAGCCTATTTGACCGTTCAATTGCTGCGGCAGCGGCAGAATCTCAGGAAAACCGATACGCTTGCTTTAAGTCAGGCATCTGCTACCAAGCCAGAGCAGTTGAAACAACGCCTTCCAGATTCATCCTGCTTGTCCGAGGAGCAGCCCGAGACAAACAATGAACCAGGTTGTCTCCGTGCATCCCAGAGTAATAAAAGGATGATCTCGTCTCAATATTGTGTTAAAACAACTAGCCAATCATCAGTGAGTCAAGTAGAAACAGGGACAATTCAACCAACATCATCCTTAGGAAATGGAAACTCCAATTCATCTCAAGACCAAACACCTTACAAGGAGGCTGTATCCAAGCCACATGGCATTTGGAGGATATTTAAGACTGCAGCCCATTAAAACAGTTATCACAAGCCTTTTGAATTTTTAATGATAAATTATACTAAGAACTGGCATGGAAAAGGGTATTTATGTCGTTTCCTCATATGTACATATAAACTAATTGTACACTAAGTTTTTATTAAAATGAAAAGCATTGTTCATCTAGTCTGACCACACGGTACCAGAGCATTAGGAAGAGATCCTGTACCGTCCTCTGGCTTCCACTCAATTTCTTCTTTCTTTGACAATTCATGGCGTCATCATCTTACGACCCCACTATGCCTTCTTCTCCCTTGTCTTCTTCTATCTTTTTACTTTTTGTGGATGACATTTTCATTTCTAGCAGTGACTTTAACCTTTTTCCTTGGTTTATTTCCAAACTTTCATCCATGGTTGCCGTGAAAGACCATGGCGATTGTCATTATTGCTTAGGGATTGAAGCTCATAGGGATGCTTTTAATCTTTTTCAATCTCAAAAACGTGGCCACTACTGGCTGGTCGTCCAGATAACCGTGGCCACTACTGGCTATGCCATTCCTTCGGGTTTAGTTGTTTCATGGAGTGCTAAAGATATAGTCTACGTTTTCTGACCTAGTGTAAAATCGGAGCATCGATGATATCTTGCTTTTGGTTGACTGAATCTTATTGATTACGTCAAGTTCTGTGTGATCTTGATATCTATTTATCTTTATTATATTATTTTATATTATGACTATGTGAGTGTTACACATGATCTTGCTGCTTATGCTTATCCCATGTTCTATGCTCCAACTAAGTACATTGAAATTGATTTTCACTTTGTGCATGAAAAAGTGAGCAGTAGCTGTTTACATATTTATCAAGGGGAATTATCATCCTCTCATTTTCGCCTTTTATTAGACAATTGTCACGTGATTACTTTCGGTTCAACTTGCGAGAGTATTTATATAAATGTGTATGTAGTGTAAGATTTTCATGTGTTGGCCTCGTATTAATTTAAATTAACTTATTGTAACTTTTTTTTTTCATTTTTATTAAAATGAAGAGCATTCTTCATCTAGTGTGAATCACACTTAAGCCTTTTCAACAAGTAATTCTTTCATATATAAATTTATGATCAAAAGCATGACAAGAATTGAAAATGAAATATAAAATATAATTCCTCAACCCAGTCCTTAGGTTTACCTCATCTAGCAATTTAAAAAGGACAAGACACAACTGAGCGACTTTCATGACCAAATGTCATACGTATATTGCTTTCATAAACCAAAAAAAAAAAATCGTGTTTAAGCACTATAAACTTGTAACTAAATATAATATTACATGTGTAATTATCGAGTCCAAGTATTGCTTATTCAATAACATTTTCAATTTAAATTATATGATTTTTAAAATTTTAAATTTAAGTTAATCGTAGTAATTAACTTAAATCATTATATAAGTTTTAATAACTATATTCGTATTTAATATCAAAATACCACTTATTCAAATCTTTAACATTCTCGTTAAAGTTACACGTCACAATTAAAATTCATTATAGAATCTTGAGTCACAATACTATTGATTTAATAATTTTTTAAATCTAAACCATGTTATTTTTAAAATTTTAAATTTAAATTGCTATTAATCAAATAACTTTTTAAACGTAAATTATGTAATTTTTTAAAATTTAAATTTAAATTATTAATATGGATGGACCTACATCTTTATTTTAATTTTAACAACCACGTTCATTTTGTATGTAAGGTAATATATGACAGCACTATTTAATCCTTATATGAACTACCGACCAGAAGCTAAATATTGAAGGGAACAGAAAGAGGAAAATAGACCAAACAAATCAAATTCGGGACCCATTTTGGTTTCTGATTCTCATTTTGATGTGACATAAAAATGAATGCTATAAAATTTATTTGGCTGAACGGTCTGTCAGATAAATAATTCTTAAACGTATAAAGCTTGGATGTCACTTGGGCTACGTATTGTTCACACTTTCTAGTTTCTAGATTCTACGTTCTTCGGCGAGCAAGCCTTACCGCTATAAAATACAGAAATATTGTGGTCCTGTACGGCCAAATTGAGAAGTAATAAAATAAGAACCAATGGAAGCTCGCCAACACACAAAGGAGAGTTATGCTTTTGACGTAATAGGTGATGGGATTCAATGCCAGCAATTTAGGCACGAGGTCAAAACTCGAAACAAAAATCATCAAAATAGTCCAAGGATGTAAGGACGGATGGGATATTATCCGGTGGTTACCCTCCGTAGGTTTGGCATTGGTTTTTGATGAATAAAGACAAAACGTTTCCTTTTTATCAAATTAGAGATTTGCACCACACATCAATGGACAATTGTTCTCCGCCTATGACATGTGTCCAGTTGCCACAATCAGACGCCACACATCCATCACAGGAGATAACATTGATGGGAAATGTCTTCCACCAGATGGTTGCCACGTAGCCTTGATAATGACATAGTTCGAACTCCGATCAGATTAGGCTGACAAGTCCACGCGGCACCGACGTAGTGAGGGAGGGACGACAAAAAGCAAAAGAAGGATGGACTTTTTTGTGTGATGTGCTCCCGTTACTATCCAACCTCTTTTTTTGGAGGCTCCCGAACCGCCCCACGTGTCCCGGCCACAAATCGATTAGTGCTCGGTCACCACTCCATCATCTCTAGCTTAGGACCTGTTTGGTTTCATTATTGTTCCTTCCTTTTTCCTTTTAAACTTGACACTTGTAAATAAGTTTATTTTTTGTTTAAAGAATTTAAAAAGTCACATTTATGTTTGGGAAAAGTTATTACTACTGTTGTTTATTATTATGAATATTTTTTACCTCCCTCTTTTTAGTTAAAAAAAGCCGTTTTCATGGAAATGAAACCAAACATGGCCCACAATTCTCGCTGTGCCTAAAGAAGAAAAAGGCGTTACCAAACACGAAACAAGACAAAGCTCTCGCCTCGATCTCTCGTCATATAAAAATGGCTGAAGCCAAAGATCAGTATAGAAAACAAAGCAAAAAGGGCAGACTCAGCCAAAGTGGCCAAAGTAAAGCCTCTCTCACTTTAACTCGTGTGTGACTCACGGGACTCACAACAAAAACAAAGGGCTAGCTGTTAGCTCCTTTCATCACAAGACTCACAAGTTTTTGATCCATAAAGAAAGAAAAAGAAGGGAGCCAAAGAATTAATGGAAACAAGTACAGCAACAACAGGAACCCCCCAAAAGAAGAAAAGTGAGCAGGTGCTAGACGGTTCGGATATAATGGAGTTGGTTGAGAACGAGGAGGTGTTTAGCAGTTTCGTGGATCATAAGTTCAAGGAGCTTGATAAAGACAGCGATGGTCAGCTCTCTGTGAAGGAGCTTCAGCCTGCTGTTGCTGATATAGGTGCTGCTCTTGGCTTGCCTGCTCAGGGTTCTTCCCCTGATTCTGACCATTTCTACTCCGAGGTTTGTCCCCAATTCCCATTTCATTCTATCTCCATTTTCTTTTCAGGTTTTCTCTGGAATAGTTTAGTTTTTCTTGAGCCTTCCAGAGCTTGGGAAGTTGATGCGTGTTCGCATTCTTTTCCTAGTAATTAAATACCTGTAACAAGAGAAAGCTGCTAAAGAAAATAGGATAGAAGTAATGTGTCCAAGTCGTTGTGATCCTCATGAAATGAAATTTGAGTCCTAGAGGTAGAAGCATAAGAAAAAGAAGACAAAGTATTCCAAGGAGGGAAATTTAACTACCACTAGGCACTGATGTAAGCTGCTGGACAGAGTGACGAAGATAAGGGGTTGCATATTTGATTTTGACTCTATCAGCTGTCCATTTCGTCTTAGAAGCATTCTAATTCTACCATGCCATCATCACCTACAATTAATTAGAGTCGGAATATCCTTTTCCAGTCGTTCAATTTGCAAATAATCCTATCTTGTAGTCGTCGCTTTGTCAGTGTAAATTACTTAACAAACAAAAGGAGAACACATAGGCTCAAGCCCAAGGATGTTAACATGTTTTATATGTTTATTGATTTCACCGGTGGTTATCCAAGTTTCAATAGAAAGCGATTGTACTTTGACTAATTGCCTACTTGGGGCTATGTAGGAAACTACAAATTGTCAAAGTTTCCATTTCTAGCTAGCTCGAGAACTCTCGACCTATTGTTCAATTTGGTCGGTGTTATGGGGAGACTTTCTGCTTTTCGCAGTTGGACTTTCTTCCTTTTCACATTTTTCCCCTTCTTTTTATCTCCACATAGGAAGGAATCTAGTGATGAATGTCGTCGAAACTACCCCATGTCTACACAGCAATCATGAATGATTTTTTAATGCGACGAAAGTCAAGTTGCTCTTATAATTTTCTTATTTTTCCAATTAAATGAAGCCTTTGAACGTCATGATTAGCGGGGACAACTCAAGTGATTTCATCAATGGCTCCCCTCACTTCTGTACCTAACCTGTTAACCATTTGCTGAAATTTAACATCAAATGCAATATAATTTTTTGATGAGATCAATTATAGTATACTATTAAGCGCAAAATATAATTGTGGTTACTCGGGTCCCCTCCTCCTTGTCAGGGGAATGATAAACTTAGGGAAAAGACAATGGAGCACTATTCCCATGCTTGGGAAAAGGAAAAGCGGGCAAGACTCAGGACCACGTCCAGGGTCTGCATAATTTCTCATCATTGTTCTCTCCACTCAACTTGACGATAAAAAGGTCGAGAACCTCAAAGTTGCTGGATATATGCGTGTTTTTAAGTTGGCAAAAGTGCACACCCCTTTTCTTGTTTGAGAATGGAAATTAGGAACTGAATTATCATAGGACTTGTGATGGGGAATAGAGGCTGACATTTTGACCTGTATTCCAGGTTTTGAATGAATTCACCCATGGAACTCATGAAAAAGTGAGCAAGACTGAGTTTAAAGAGGTTCTTTCAGATATTCTCCTGGGTATGGCCGCGGGTTTGAAGCGAGACCCTATTGTGATCCTCCGTATTGATGGAGAAGACCTCTTAGAGTTCATTAATGGTCCAAGTTATGAAGCAGAGATGGTGTCTGTGTTTTCACAGTTAGGGTCAGATGATACATCGCTGCGTGATTGCCTTGTCAAGGCTTTGGAGAAACTTACGGTTGATCAAGGAATGCCCCCTTCTTCAGATTCTTGGGTAATTGACTTTCCACATCTCTAGTTCAGTCAATAATATTAGGAAAATGTAATGAAAACTTAAGCCTGTGTTGTCATCTTTTTTTTCCCACTTCTTTCTGGCTTCTGTTGCTTGTGTAGGTTATGAGTAACATAGTGGAACCAGCTTCGCAATCATGGGACGGCAATGATCAAGAGAAACCTGTCTCTCAAGAAACATTCTTGGAAGAATTTAAGAAAGTTGCAGAGCGCGTGGCTGAAAAACTCAAGGAGCAGCCTGTAATTGTTGCCCATAGTGAAAACATCTTTGATGGAAGTAGCATTAAAAGACTACTATCCAACACGTTTGAACTAGAGAAGGTATATGCTCTTGTTGTCTCAGTGTCTTTAGTCTCTGTCAATGTTGGATTTCTGAAGGTAGGTATTTCTTTTGTGCAGTTGCGCCTGCGACCATTACTAATAAATTCTTTCAATTCGCAATGCAGTCACTGAATACAGCTTTAGAAAATGTGCCAAAAGATCGAAATGGGAAAATATCGAAGGAGTATTTACGCGTGGTGCTAGATGCAGTGGCTCCATCGGCTGGCTTACCTCCAATCGGTGCAGTTGAACAGGTATTGCAATGCCTCCATCTTCCAGTTAATCAAAGGAGATATTAGACAAGGTTGCCAAACGCAATTCTCAGCATGGATTGCTGAAGGTTTCTAGGGACTCCTATGATTATGTTCAAGGATAATTATCAAAATAGATCATTGCCCCTACCCTTTTATCTGTTAAAAAAAAATTCTATTTCATTCCACTAACTGAAATTCTTGAAATTCTTCCAGATCGACAAGGTAGTCGCTGATGTTTTCGACATGATAAACGCGGATGACGGGAAGATGGTAAAAGAAGATGAGTTAAAGAAACTATTGGCAGAGATCCTGGGGAGCATCATGCTGCAGTTAGAGGGCAATCCCATCACAGTTTCTTCAAATTCTGTTGTTCATGAGCCCCTCGCATCATCCTCAACCGTTTTGCAGCCATCATCCTAGTTACCTATATATCACAGACACCTCTCATATATCAGGGGAAACAAAATAAAAAGGGCCAATAAATTTTTGGTTTAATTAAGTAAATTACCACTACCTTAAGTTGTTTGCTGTGCAGTTCATTTGGTTGTGCCAATGACATAGGCACACACGCGCACGCACGCGCTAGCTGGCTATTAACTTATACGCTCAAATGCAGAACTAGATGGAAGGCAGACTTGTCGCTGTCAATTAGACCCAAAAGCAAACCTAAAGTAGACTCTTTTATTCATTGCAAATGATTAACCGGCATGTATACCTTTATCTCTTAATAAGCATTTCAGTATGGAATCTTCAATTTAAACCTAAAGAATTTCAAGTTCACCTTGAAGGCTTGACCAAACCAAGAGAGAGCATGTGAATGGAGGACATAACAAAGAGATTGCTCTGCTCTGTCAACAAGCCGTTTATTTGGGTGAACAGATTATCGACCCAGAAATGATCCTAGCATCCAAGAAATCTCAGTGCATTTCCATTAATTTGTATAGTACGGTTTGAAATAATCAACGTTATTTGTTTGCTTTCAACTGATCCGAGTGTCCTTTAAGTCATACTATCTGCTTTCAACTGGAAAGAGGGAAAGCCACTCACCAGTTATTGAATCGTGCATGAACTTAACCTCCATCAGTGTCAAAATTCACAAACCCTCCCCATTGACTTGAGTTATAGACCCCCAACAACAAAGTGCAGGTGCGGCCAATTTCACAACGTCACGCTCTCCGTCTTCCCAAACCAAGCCTTCTTTCGGTAAGCCCTTGGTGAAAGAATAATAAATGATGCAAGCAAAACAAGGTCCAACCCAAAACACCCAATGCCCATCCCATAACTGACCTCCCAGCAATAAGGCCGGGCCTAAGCACCTTGAAGGATTAAGGCCCACCCCTGCGTAGCCGGCCCGCCCAGTCACACTAATGGACACAAAAACTGCCACTGCCATGGCCCCTGCTACCACAGCACAAACCATTGGTAAGCCTAGTTCTTTGCTTCTTCTCTTGTCAAATGCTGTTGTTACACCAACAAGGAGCACCAAAAAAGTACAGCAAAATTCTAAAATTAGTGCAGTTCCAGGGCTTATTCCGGACGTTGACCCATTTCCATTAATGGTACAGCCTCCCAGGGAATACCTTTTTGCTGCATCATGGTCCATCACACTGTTGAGTATGAGAAATCCTATTATTGAGCCTACACACTGCGCCAAGATGTAGATGGAAGCTCGTGCCAGAGTTATGATGCCCTTGAGGGCAGCAATGAATGTAAAAACAGGGCTCATGTGTCCACCTGAAAGAGGAACTGTCACCATGAGAAAGAGAAAGGCAATAATAAAGACTGCAAATGGGACTAGAAGCTTGGGATCAGTCTCGTGCGAGTCCAAGCAGGAGACAATGGATGTGGTTAATGTGAACATTAGTGAAGCAGTCGCCACCAACTCTGTCAGTGCTGCCTTCCACACCTAAAAGAATTAATCAGGAAAAAATTAGAGCCCTTTTCTTCTCACAATGAATCGAGCAGAATAAATCATTTAATCGAGGAAGATTAATACCTCTGGTAAGGAAAACTCATGGGCACCAATGCAAGCAAAAAATGTTGGTTTCAGAGATTGCCTTTCTTTCAGGATTGTTGCCTCGTGGTTTTCAGCTGAACTTGTCAGAAGATTATGATCAGATCCACGAGAGATGACTATATCCATGTCTTGAATCTTGAGAATTTACATGAAAGGATAATGCTTTCCACTCGAAGGAACCATTTAACCAATTATATAGAGAAAGAACAGGACAGTGTCACACTGTTAGTGCCGGCTGCTGATCAGCCACTACTTTCCGTAATATAACAATTTACAAGTAATTGTTCCAACTTCAAAATGAACCATCAGAAATATTTTTTGAGGCTGGCCAATCGCAAGGGGACGAAAGCCGATCTGGTGCCAGGGAAAGACCAAAAGCAAACCCCCAAAGAAACTAAATAATGGGAGTAATATTCTGTAATATGCTTTACGCAACTGTTCATTGGGGAGGAGGAAGTTAAAACAGAGGATCTAGCAAAGCTTTCGTCTGTTAAGAATATCCATTTTAGACAAACAAGGATGCTTAGTTTGCTCACTCTAAGTTCATTAAAGAATGAAATATCCGTAACTTACCGCCGAAACTTTTAATGCTTATCTGGACAGTTTGAACTACGCAGCTCTAATCCTCTTATATACTTTGAAATTGTCATTACTATTAATTCCAGCTAATAATCCAATTCGCCAAGAACAATTACCTAGAAATTCCATGTTACCACTCAATTACAGCTTCTCGTGGCGGTACGTGTTGCAGTTCATTGCATGAATCATGTGGTTTTAAGTCTGCAATTCTGCATTATGGCCTAACTTTTCACACACTTGGTCACACACTAATAGCAAAATACCTTCATTAGCAAACTTTACATAATCAAATATAATTTTCTTTTATACTTCTAGCTTTCTCACCCCATGCTTTAATTCCAATTTGGGATATCAAATTTTCTGATAACAAAGTTAAAGAGCCAATAAGAATGATTATTGATGATGACTACAAGAATAGTAACAAACATAAAGATACCTTCGGGCTTACGCCACCTTATTACATTAAGCCAATAAGATATCAAATTGTGTGCCGGTCTTAGCTCTTGAAAACGAATATACTTAGTAGCTGTGTGTATGCTCACGTGGAATCATCTTAACATAAAGAGCAAAAGCCACACACCCAATAGCTGGTCCAAACCAAAAAATCCAGTGTTTGTCCCAGAGGTGGCCCCCTCTAACAACTGCTGGGCCCAAGCACCTTGCTGGGTTTAGCCCAGCACCACCGTAGCCTTTCGTCGCTGTGACTGTAGTCGAAATGTATACAAGAAGACCTAAGACTATTCCAAGGATAACGCAGATCATAACTCGGCCCACAGCCTTGGCTTGGCGACGGTCGAAAGCCATCCATACCGAAGCAAAAAGAAACACAAAGGAGCAAATTATCTCGAGCCAAAGGGCCTGGCTTGTCTCCAGGCCGATCACAGTAGGCCCATGTGGGCCTGGTACAACACTAGTCACGGTGCATCCCCCTAGTGAATACGTTCGTTCAATGCCGCTGTTAACCACGGCCTTGAGTGCTAATGCACCTAGTATGCCACCAACAGATTGAGCCAAAATGAATATGGCAGCTCGGGAAATGGAAACCAGGCCGGTGAGCAAAGCAGCAAAGGTAACAATCGGATTGATGTGGCCCCCGGAGATGGGATACGTAGCAAGCAGGAGAACGGCAACAACGAAGGCAATTAGGACCGACATTACAAGGTTTGGTGTTTTTGTTTCGGTCTGTAACGTGGAGATAACTATCGTGTCCAACGAGAAAACAAGCACTGCCGTTCCAAGAAGCTCTGCCAAAGAAGCTCTCCATACCTATAAATACAACACCGGTTTGGCTTGTTAGAGAAATGCAAATTCCATTAAAACCTAGACAGCTGCATGCGAGTCCTTATGATCATACTAACCTCCAAAGAGAAGAGCTCTTCAAGGCCTAACACCTTACTTGATAGTGATGCTTTTGGGTGCTTTTCTTCCGTAACTTGCCCTGGCCTGCAACACACAAGAAAGGACAAAATGAAAACAGGAAATGTTAACCTTACGTAAATACAATTTAGGCCTCAAAATGTAGTGCTAGTAAACTAAAGAAATTAAGGAAAAAAGGAAACAGAAGCATATTAATTATATATGGAACTCAATACTCACGTTGGAGTAGAGGCAAAAGGCTGGACTTTATTGCGACCATAGATGCTTTCTTCATCCTCAACAACTCCAATTCCTGCCATCTTTTATGTAACTCTGTTGGCTCAGCCTCTTTTTTTGGATGAACCTATCTGTTGGCTTAATTAAACTCTGAAGTCTGTTATAGTACCCCATATATAGCCGGACGTATCATGATCAGATTGTACAAGCTGGAAGTAATTAATATATAATGGCCGTTATGATAATTAATTTTTGATTCCAAAGCTCCTTGATCCTTGTAATACAATATCTCCACAAAACCCACTTTTTTTTCTTTATTTTTTTACTGTTATCTTAGTGAATTAATTTTCTCAGTTGTCATTCCAATTAGATATATATTTCAATTACTTTCATTGTGCAAATCGTGTTGGATTTTTTAAAAGCTTGACGGTGACACGGCGGGGGACCAAGTGCCCTCGTTCCCTATATATACTCACACCAGGGTGCAATTATTTCCTTATTTTATGTTTGCTGCTAGCTGTTTTCATTCATTTTAATAGATATAAAACTCCACGGTTTACTTGTAATTAACTCACGAACGAATCATGTTAGTGGAATTATTCAGAAACTGCAGTATCATTACAGATCATACGAGATCGGTCAAATCCCTGCAGTCGTGGGATCATGATCCTAAGAAATTGGAGGTTCTAAAATTCATACCACCTTCAGTTCATTTTACAAAAGAAGAATAATAATAATAGGAAATTTGCTGCTTGCCCCCCACCTCGATGTCTCATTTCTACCATCCCGCGTGACGTAGCATGGTGCCAGGTTAGAAGAAAAGCTGACATTGATTTCTGCTTGTCTTCCAATGGCAGTACTCCATCCTCGGCCACTGTCACTGCCATTTCCTCTGATTAGCGGAGAATGTTTGTCAATTCCCAAAGAATAGACCGTACCTGATCATGGTTATTGTTAGGTTTCCGATCTTGTTTCTTAAAAGAGATCTGTTTGTTTCTAACCATGATGGATTTGTTACGAAAGATTATTATAGCTTGAGTCCATAAATAACTGGAGCAAACAAAGGAGTCGGTGATGGGAAAGAATGAAGCTGGTGGAATGGAGGTTGTCTTCTTAGTTATTCCTGGACTAGCAGCGTAACGGTGATATCAGGGATTTAGTGTATTATATTATTAACAATATTTTAAAAATATATATTATTCTGGAATTATCAATCAATGCAAACGGATCGAACAAACTGAATGTACAATCCAAGTTCATATCTAAATCAAATTAATCGAATTTAGTTCAAGAGTTATTTGGTTTCCATTAACTCCACCCTAGCAATAACTGATGAGAAAGTGTTCACACTTCCCTCTTTGGGAAAAAGATGTTCATTCGTAGTTTTGATACAATCATAGAAAGCATCCTTGAAAGTCATAAATAAATGATTAAACATCCATTCTTAAATCATTTAGATTATTTTCCTAACATGAGCACTGAGAGCTCTACAAATATAATTCATGGGATGGGATCGTGCTTTCAAGCATTGATCAGTTGTGCAAAAGCTGACTCGGAATGACCTTGGTGTAGAGGGCAAATGCTACACAGGCAATAGCAGGCCCGGCCCAAAAAACCCAATGCCCACTCCAAAGGTGACCCCCTCTAATCAGGGCCGGACCCAAACATCTTGCTGGGTTCATCCCAACACCGGCATAGCCCTTCGTGGCGGTTACAGTTGTCGATATAAACACGATAAGGCCCACCACTATGCCGATGACAGAGCAAACCATGACTCGGCCCAGGTTCTTGGCTTGGCGTTTATCAAAAGCAATCCATATCGAAGCAAAAAGGAACACAAAGGTGCAGAAAATCTCTAGCCAGAGGGCCTGTCTCGTCTTAAGGCCGATCACAACCGGCCCATTTGCACTTGGCACAACGATTGTGAGCGTGCAGCCTCCGAGCGAAAATGTTTGCTCGATTTCGCTGTTTACCACAGCTTGTAATGCTAGTGCACCTAGAACGCCGCCGACGCATTGAGCCAAAATGTACACGGCGGCGCGTGGTAGGGAAATAATGCCGGTAAGTGCCGCGGCAAGGCTGATAACCGGGTTGATGTGGCCACCTGAAATGGGAAACGTAGCTAGGAGGAGAATTGTGATAGTGACAGCAATAAGAAACGACATTATAAGGTGGGGTGTTTTTGTTTCTGTCTCGTAGGAGGAGATGACAATGGTGTCCATTACAAAGACTAACACTGCTGTACCGAGGAGCTCTGCCAAAGATGCTCTCCAAACCTGGTAATGCAGGAGCAACGTAGGATTAATACTAGTCAGCACAGTTAAATAGTCATGATAGCTACGTAGAAGAAATTAAAAATAATTAAATAATAAAAACGCCTTCCACAAACCTCCAAAGAGAAGAGCTCTTTGAGGGAAAAAGTCATCTTCAAGGTAGTGGGATTTTGCTTCTTCTCTTCCTCTACTCTTCGTTGCTCTACTCTGCCAAATTATTTGAAGAAAGAACAAATCAAGTTTCGAGAGTTTTAGAACAATTTGATCTTCAAAAAGTAAGATAAAAAAAGAACGAGAAATTAAGTATGGAAGGATTTAAAGGATTTGTGAGAGACTTGCCTTGGTGTGGAGGCAAAGGGACGGACTCTAGTTCCGGTGTAGACATTTTCCTCATCTTCAACAACGCCAACATGTCCAGTTCCAGCCATCTTTGGTTTAGCTCTCTTGGTCCACTTCCCTGTATAAATAGTCAATGAGGCTACTGCATGAAATGTTTACCTTAATTATGTAACATAAGTTTGTCTTGAGCTACTTAATCGGTGCTATTATCCTGCTGCTTATTTAGTATGTGATGTCTCAGCTTGCTTTGTGGCATTATTGCATGCTTTTCCAACCATTAAGATGTAGACAGAAATTATATATACTAGGCTACAGTGGCAGTGTTTTGCAAGGGTAATCATCCGTAGATGAGTTCAAGATATTTACATGGTACACTTCAAAACTGTTACAATTGATCCTTCACGCTGGTGAGAACAGGTTAGACATCTTACAGAAGTCAGCGAGTGTAACCATCTTATCAATGCGGATGCAACTTGCAAGAATTAATGGCATCATGAATCCAAAATAGTTACACAATTCAAGAGTTGCTACCAGTTTTTAATTGGCCTGATAAGTTGGGAGAGTGCAATTAATGGGAACTTGCTAAACATTAGAGGTTTGGTTGCTGGTCAATTCTTGTCTAGCTACTAGTTAGTAGGGAGTGTTATTAAATTCCCAACCAGAAAAAAAATGAAAAAGAAGTGTATAGATTTATGAGCGGCGGTGGACTTGTTCGCATCTATATTGGGTATCTGTTTCATTTAAACTGATCGGGGGTTGGGAGACAACTCAACTGTTAGCATGGGCAAAAATCGGCTGGAACTTTCCTTTTAATTATGAGGGGCACAAAGTCAGAGTTTCCTGTAAGCCTCAAATCGGCTGGGACTTCCCTTCTATTTTTTGTCTCTCATGGTTGCTGTGTAAAGACACAGAATGAAACTTGACCGGTATATATGAATGGCTTGTTCTTATCTACATAAACAACTACTAGAAATAAGGAATAAGTCAGCAAGAAAGCTGTCTATGTAAAGAATAGTTTTCCTTTAAGCTCATTACATTGGCAAAATTTCTTCTGCAAAGAACATTGGAACTTTCATCAGCAAGAAAACTTGATAACAAATGGATAAGTCAAAAAACACCCTTTTTTTTTTTTCCTTGTCTGACCCCTGAATTATAGTAGCTTCCGCTCAGTTTGGAGGAACCTAGTCCAAATCTTGATCATAATCCATGGGGTTTCAATTTCACTTGAAATATATTTATCAAATTGTGGAAATCTATTAATGACCGTTGGTTTGGAGTTCATAGTGTGTGCCTAGTTAGAATAGCCACAACAAGACCTTGGGATGCTGCTGGGAGCATATGCTGGAATTGTGCCTTAAAGTGGAGGGAAGGAGTTATTTTATGTCCAAGTACGAGGAAGTTACCTTGTAGATGACTGGAACTTATGTGTTCTCCTTGCTCCCCTAAGATAGAAGACATAATTGGGAAGCGAATTTATTTTAGAATTTTTAACCGCCTGCACGTGTGGGGGATCTGTAGGTATAGATGTGAAAATTATGCATCTGTTGCAGATAAGAACTTGGAATTGAATAAGAAACGCCTAGATACTTTTCTCATGGAAGCATCAAGTTCATCAAGCACTGAAAATCTAACTTTATCAATTGTGATGTATCAAACTGGTGAAATCAATGCAAAGACCTCATGGTCAGGGAGGAAAATGGTGCTTGAATTGTCAACCATATAACGACCCACACCTACTCAGTCACCTTTCTTCATATATTGTCAGTTACAACTCTTTTAACTCTTTTTTTATAAGTCAATGATAGTTACTAATATGATGCTATGATCATCTTGCTTACGAAGTGGTGATACACCGTCTTTTACTGATTTGAACCGTTGATGTTGTGAGGGACAAAGAATGTCCTCTTTTGCTTAGTAGGAGTAAGAAGTTTCGAAGAATCTTCTGATTTGCTATTTGGGATTTGTCTTTTCCATGTCCACTTTGATATTTCCAATGATATTAACTTGTTCCAGCCAAGCATTGTGTAGATTATGGGGATTTAGGTATACCTAGATGGAAACACAGTATTTCTTCCTCGTTAGTAGCGTAGATTAGGATCTGGTTTGTCACGTTCAACTATAATTTCTACCCATCTCTGTTTGCTGTTCTTCAAACAATAATGGAGCCGTTCTTTTCTCGTGTACGGTCACTTGCCTTGATGTCGATGTCGTTAATCTCTGTTTGCACTTTATCAGGCATCAAACTCTCCTTCTTTGCTTCTTAGATTTTCTTTGAGAAAAGATAACAGTAATAATTAATTAATGTTGCTGATTTATGTGCCCTTTTTACTGGTTTGCAGATTGCTATGATCCTTTGGATCCCAATGGGAACATTACAGTTACTTTTGACATTAATCAATGGACACGAGATGGCTATGAGGTCAGTATGTCATTTATCATCATTTCAGGAATAGTTATTCATCACAAAAAAAGCGCTGATACTGAGATGATGAGTTCTAGAAAGAAAGAGAAATTTACTTTGGATATCTTCCAATATTTTGGGCAACCAACAGTTTTGCAACAATAGTAGCTTTCAGGCACTCTAGAATTTCACTTCATTGTATTCATCATTCACTGTTTGTCTGATTCTTCAAGATATTTTTGCCTGTAGGCAAGGGTAACAATTCAAAATTACTATCATTATCGTCATGTTGATAAATCTGGTTGGAAATTGGGTTGGACATGGGCTAATAATGAGATCATCTGGACCATGTCTGGTGCTTTTGCCACTACACAAGGGAACTGTTCATCGTTCAAGTTCGACACGCCACACTCCTGCGAGAAAAGCCCTGTCATTGCTGATCTCACGCCAGATGCCCTGCCGGAAAACAGGACAGCTGACTGTTGCCATGGTGGCATTCTTGCTGCTTGGGCTATCGACCCTTCTATGTCATTCTCATCCTTTGAAATGATGGTTGGCCACTTGGGGGCGAATCCTAATGTGCAAGCACCACTCAATCTTACTCTTATGGCTCCAGGTCCTGGTTACACTTGTGGCTTAGTTGCTGACACTGATCCCACGATTTCTTCTGATATTGGGGGTAGGAGACAACTCCAAGCGTATAGTAAGTAGCCAATTAAACTCCATTATTAGGCAGTGCATTCAATATAAATACTCCAAAGCCACAAAATGCCATCCTGGTTGTGATTTTAGAGTTCCGAACTAAGACATTCTAATGGTTGTTAGAAAAAACAGTAAACTATAAAGTGCAGCTAAATCATGCAATAATTTGAATATTGACACCGAGGAGTGAGAGCAATTGAATTCCAACCAGGCTAATTTTGCTATTATTATGCTTCAGTCTCAATGCACTGGTGTCTCTAGTGATATATTTTCTCATTCCTATCCGCTTCGGTCTCCAGCGGTATAATTATGCTTCAGTCTCCGTACAATTCCTCTGATCAGATCTTATTCCTCTCTGCTTTGCTTGTTCATAACCCTTGCACTTTCTAGAAATCCTAAACATTTAAATGTGTTTTGGTTGCAAGCTTATCACCTCAGCAACCTTAAAAGTCACAGGAAACAGACTGATGAAAACCTAGATGAACTTCTCTTCCTAGTGTTAGTGCTAAGCCCTGCTTTTGTCGTCAATGAAAATGTTAGATGCACTGGCTTAACCTTAAAAGTTATGTTAATTTCAGCAACAGTGAACATTTAAACCATTAACTCATCTGATTCATCAAGTTAGAGAACTTTATTTTAAGATATTCTAATTTCCATATTGCTTGTCATTTTCAACATTTCATGCTGTTCCACAACCCGTATATGTCTACTAGGAAAAATTGAAACGACTCATAAGTGACTCATCAACTCAGATGTTTGAAACCCACCAATTGTGTAGATCTGTCGACTCTTATGGGACACTATTCTGCTGCCTATTTTGTGAAGCGAGGAAGTGTTGCTGAAATAAAATTCATCTTGATTATAGACTGCATCCTAATGTGAAAACTTAAAACCGTGCTGCACCACAAAGCAATCATTTTTCTGTTCACCAGGAACATGGAAATCAACATGCACTTACTCCAGCTTTGTTGCCAACCAAGCACCTGTATGTTGTGTTTCACTCTCAACATTTTACAATTCCAAGATCACATCATGCCCTACTTGCAGCTGTGGATGCAGAGAAGCAGAGGAAAGTACAGGTTCATGCATAAGGTGGGTTCATAAAATTGACTTCATTTTTTATCCAAAAACAATATAGCTTGAGTCTTGTTTAGAGCTTAATGATTTATCTCTTTTTCTTAACTACAATTTCCAAACCTGCATTCCACTCATCTTTCTTTCTTTGTGTAATGCCAGAGAAGGTTACCCTGCACCACAGTCAGATTCTTTAGATAGTGATGACATTGTGCTATGCACTGATCATATGTGCCCAGTTACTGTTCACTGGCATGTTATGAAAAATTACGTGACACATTGGAAGGTAAAGCTGACAGTCTCTAACTACAATTATAGAAGAAACTACTCAAACTGGAATGTGTTGGCTCAGCATCCTGGTTTCAGCCAGAATGCAACAGCATTTAGCTTTAACAGTACAATGCTTCCCTCTTTTGGATTTTCAGGTACCTGATATATAACAAAATATTTAGCTTAAGGTTCCAGTACTGCTGTTTTCTTTTCTGTAACTCATTCTCAAGGGGACTCTTGCAGATGAGGTTGCTCTCTTTTGGGGGATTGACTACTATAATAACGACCTATTGAATGCTGATAAGGATCAACTGGGTGCGGTATCCACACAGATTTTACTGAAGAAGGATTCAAATTCCTTCACATTAAAAAACGGATGGGCGCTACCTCGAAGAATATATTTCAATGGGGAGAATTGTCAAATGCCTCTTCCAGACACTTTCCCCATGTTACCAAATGGCAGCTCCAACTTGAAACCTGCTCACACCCTTTTACTTTTCTTGATTTATCTGACTTTCAAGACAGTGGTTACCAGGCTTTGATAAATAAAGCTCTGAACATGTTTGCTTCCTGAATCAAAATTTTGGTCTCACTTGGGAGACAAAAGTTAAGCCGCGGTAGCTTACAAAAGCGAAGAGAGCCCTTGGTGTAAGGACTGGCAAAAAATCACATAGTTTCTGATATGCTAACGATCAGTTGGTCATTCTTCTTACAATAACACTAGATACACCGAGCTAAGAAATCCTTAGTAAGAACAGAAACATTTACTTTGACAATAACACCCATTTCAACGTTTTCCACCCCCAAGTCAAATTCAAAGTAAGCATTGAAGTTTGAATCTCTCGCAACACCAGCCTTTGCGAGCCCATCCGCAAGTGAGTTAGCTTCACATCTGATATGGGTGAAGGAGAGGTGTAACAACACCAGCCTTGTTAATATTTGCCATATAAGTTCATGCAAAGTCTTGAATGTCTGATAACCTCTTGGGATTTCGCCTCAGGGACAGGGCAATGATTCATTGTAAGGTGTGACTTGGTTCTGGTATGTCCATGCATAAAATTGATTGTATTATTTGTTCATAAATCTGACAAGATCTGCCTGCTGATAAATGTTGGTAAATTGATTCTGCGCCTGCTTTCGATCTACCTTCGAGACTATCTCTTTGAAGGCTACAAATTTACTGTAACCAAAAATTCTGTACTAGCAGCGAACTGTCAAGACTGGCTGCAGTTTTCACAGCTCACGAGATTAAAACAACCATGTCCAAGTCTAAACGGCTATCACTTCATAGGAACATTAAAAATTAGTGTTTAATTTCTCTACCATACCCTTGCTTTTCTATGAAACATCCTTTGAACAAAGAGAAGTCACCATTTTCAAGATCTCAAAGTGAAATATTATAAGCCTGTTTTAACTGGAATCTATAATCCCTCTACAGTTTATGAACTACGATGATATCTCTCACCAACCAAATGTGAAGTGTCACTGAATTGGACCTTCTCTTGACATTGATTGAAAGGACCAAAAGAACAAAAGGGGTAGCTAAAATGTGCACAAATAACCAGAAACATGTCCACATGCGAAATTTTGGAGGCCTATGTTGTTGGATTTACCAATGAAACAAAAAAGATTGATTGTTGTTATGGGGCCATGTGCTTCCAATAACGCGTGGCATAGACAAGATCATTGTATTCTTATCCTTCCTTCCTTTAAGACAAGCTGAAGATGAAGATAATACTCTAAGTTGAAGGAAGATTTCTCCCTGTTCCCTTTCAGACCGAAGTTTGAAAGTTTTTACCAACATCTATAATGACAAGACAAGACCAAATCCCATTCCAAAGAAAAGGTTGAAAAAGAGAGAATGACATTTCCCTATGGATGACTCACCCCATACTCTAGCATTGTCCATGGCTTAATGGAGTATTTAATCGCGTAATAATTAAACACAAACACGCAGTAGCGGGGGTCATACGATCAAGAGAACCTTGTGGACCCCATTCGATCAACGGCTGACAAATTTTCGATTGCAGCTAATTTTTGGTGTCAAACGTAAATGCAATCAGTGTCCAATGGTGGCCTTTTTCATTTTTTTGAAAAAGCCAATACTGGGCGTTTTACTTTTCCTCTTCTTCTTGCCATTAAATTTTCCTGGGAAAGAAAATCTTCTGGAATAGAAAGGAAAGGGAGAGAGATAGAAAGAGGGAAAGGAATCGAAGGCACAGCTATGGCTCCTCATGGGGAGGGATCAGATGCTGCAGTAGAAGCCATGGCTGCTCAAGTTGAAAACCACCCCATTTCATCCATCCTGATCATCATCGGTTAAAACCCACCCTCCCCCTTTCTCTCTCGATATTTATATGTACTTTTATGGAATCATTTATTTGGGGAGTTTCTTGTTGCAGCTATGCAAACAGAAGCTTTGCCAGTGGTTAATAAGTTCCGGTTGACTGCGAACCCTCAACCTGCGTGAGTTCCTTTTTCTCCCTTTTGTCATTTTCTGTGATTTTGGTTAAAATCAGTTTTGATTTTTTTGGGGAGGTTTTAAGGCTTTAAGTTCAGCAATTTTGGTATTGGGTTAATCTTATTTTCATCAATATTTCAGTGGACTGAGTGGTTGCAGGCTGATTACTAATAAAAATGTTTGCTTGCTAAGTATTTGAGTTTTTGAACTTTGAAATACATGCAAAAAAATTTTCTTTTGTGCATGTTAGATTTCTTTCATTTCACGATTCAGATGGGTATTTGGCATGTAACTAGTTTTTGCAAATCAGAAAGAGCAATATATTACTGTTTTTGATATCTTTTATGCCTGTGTCATGCGAAGTGGACTTCTTTATCTGATAATTTTGCTTCTGCAAGAGTTTACTGTCTAGTTCGATTATTATGCATCGTTGCATATTCGGGTTTTGCATTTATGTGTCCATGAGCAATGGTGCAGGTTTCCAAAAGGGGTCCCTTGGGTCCATTATCATGGTACATACAAAGACCTTACAATAAATCTAGTTTGGCCGGGAAAAGATTTAACTTTGGGTAAGGACTTTGTTCTTGCAATATTTTTTTCTTTCTCTTTTTAATCTTCCTTTTGAAATCATCAAGCAATTTTCAATTAGCTGCAACTTATACTGTATGGTTTCCAATAGAAACCTAGGAGCTCTGATTGAGACCTTTACCAAAAGCACTGAAAGTGCAATAACATAGTGAAATGTTGCATCTTGTGACATCGCTCATAGACTTAAAACTGCTTCAATAGCTCATATAAATAAAAACTTCTGTTCAGATAGTATTTGTAATCCAATTCCAAACATTTCTACCATACGTTACATGAAAATGCTGAACTTACTGGTAAGTACTTGGGTTGGATGCACAAGCCAAGTTACATCTGACACATAGGTAATGGACATGTCAAGGAACGGAACATTTCTTACGTTCACTATTCCTTTCTGTTACATTCTCTGATTATTTCTTTGCAGGGGTTGATAGTGTTGGTACGATTTGTGCCTCTCTTGTGGCCTATGCATCTATCCAGGCATTGCAACCAGACCTGATCATAAATGCTGGCACTGCTGGTGGCTTTAAGGTAGTTTCAATCGCTAAATATTTCTCATTTTAAACATAAAAAAAGAAAGGAATGATAGTAACGATGATCCTAAGCTACCATTCTATTAGATATGCATTGCTTACAATGATCCCTCTACATTAAGTTTTTAGTTTTCAATTTGATGTTCACGATGATGATCTGTCATAAAACTTTCTGTTGCTCCACTTTCAAACTACTGATCTGAATGCTTACTAGCATATAGAAGACTGTGTTTACCTTTTCAAAAGGCTCTAGCTTAGATGCTGCAAATTAAGCTACAGTGCTATATAACATGTGCGGGGGACTTTTAACTATGTATATTTGTATTATTTTGTATATTGATTCTTGGATTTTTCCAGGCAAAGGGAGCAGGCATTGGTGATGTTTTTCTTGCATCTCATGTTGCGTTCCATGATAGAAGAATACCAATCCCAGTAAGTGGTATTGGCCCTTGGTCTTCAATTCATTTGCTTATTATGCTTAGTTATGGGGACATGGAATAAAACCTCATGTTGCTATTCTGTTTCGACTAGCACTGCAATATTTTTATTTCTTCCAAAAATGGATTTGAAGGGTTACAAGGAGTCAATCACTCACCCATTCCTTTTCAGGCCCATTTTAATTGGTTATCTAATACATTTGGTTTAAAATGAAAACCTAATTCAGTTTCACTTCGATTTTACATAATACATAAACTGAGCATGTAAACACTACAGGCATCTAAAGGTGTCCATTAATTTCATCTTCTGTACCTATTCTTTTCTTCTCTTTCTTCTTTCTGTTTCTTTTTCAGTTCTTTTAATTGTTATGGGCCACAATACTCCGATAAGACAATCTCTATACTGTAAAAGCTCTTATATATTCATCATGAACCTGGAACCTAGTTTGTGCTTTGCTAAGCGAATTTCTTATTGCCTGTATGTAACTCGATCTTTAGTTATATTTTGGTAACCAATTTTTGTTTTCATCTCGTCTTCTATAGGTTTTTGATCTGTATGGAGTTGGTTTGCGGCAGGCCTGCTCAACACCAAATCTCTTGAAGGAGCTTAATCTAAAGGTAATTATTTTGTTTTTGTGTTCCTCTTTGTCCAGCAGGAGGCTAGGTTGTTGACCATATTTTGAACTTTTTTCCTTTTTTCTATATTGAATTTCTAAAATCCTTTTTCATTTCTTTGTTCTAAGTATCTTTCGCTTGCAATTGCTTGTCAGTTTGTTAAGAATGTTGTTTTTCCTTCCCAGATAACTTCTCTGCTGGATGAGGATATGTAATATGTTTGCAACTGCATTTACTTTGTACTAGTAGGCATCTACTTTGCATAGGGAGGATTAGTTATTCAATTTAACTGATAAATGGAGTTAATATTTTAGTGATACACATGCTGGTTGATTGGCAATGTGCATGTATTTTATAACTATCTAATGGAGTTGAAAATTTAAGCAGCACTTGATTTCTCAATTTGTTTTGTCTTTTTGACTGCATAGACGTCAACTTCAGACAATTCCTGCTCCCTCTCGCCACCCCCTCTCCTTATGTTTTTTTTTTCTTTTTCTTCTTCCTTACTAAGACACACGCACATGGCAATTTACATTAAACCTTGCCCTATGTTTCAGACTGGCAAATTGTCCACAGGCGACTCTTTGGACATGTCCCTTCAGGATGAAGCATCAATCACGGCAAATGATGCTACAGTCAAAGACATGGAGGTAATCGCCAAAACATCCCATCTCTTAATGAATAAATGGAAAAATGGATTGCATCATCCTTGCAGATCATGCATTACTGCTTGAAATGCTTTTTGTACTTTAAAGTCTACAATGCATTAAGCCTTATTTTTTCTGTTCATTTGTTCCAGGGAGCAGCTGTTGCCTATGTGGCTGATCTTTTAAAAGTTCCCGTAATATTTGTTAAAGCAATTACAGATATAGTAGATGGTGAGAAACCCACTGCAGAGGAATTCCTGCAGAATTTGGCTGCGGTCACTGCTGCACTTGATCGAGCTGTTACTCAAGTCATCGATTATATCAGTGGAAAGTGCCTCCCTGAACTTTGATTTTGCCTTAATCTCACTCTCATTTGGATATGTGACAATAAAACTTGTAATTCTTAGTTCCATGAGAAGCCAACACGAGAGATGAGTATTTTTTAAGATAAAAGCAGCAAACAAATTCATAGCTTGAGTAGGCATGTGTTTGAATAAAACAGTATTAAAGGTGTTATATAGTTAAGTTCATTGTACTCTGGCTATGGCGTTTCCTTGAATTTTGCCAACCCCGAGGAATTTATGCATCTAAGCCTTTGATCAAATTTTTCGTGGCTTGATAGCTGCCATGTGATTATTTCTTTGTTTTGGCTGTAGCTTGAGCACGTGTTTTTCTCAAGGAATGTATTTGTTGTGTAGTACTTTGAGTGGAAGAATTTATCCGTGGTGTTGAATGAGAAATAAATTAGAGCATTGGTGTCGGTTTAAATTGCTGTGACTCTGCTATTGTATGCTTTGCTCTCTTTTTCAGGTTTTTGGGTAGTAGTTGGTTTTTATTGGACCAGATGCCATTGGCCGTCAGTGCCAATCTTAGTCGATCATTGGCCCAATTAATCATTTGCCCTGCAAGGTGGTATACAATCCGTAAGACCTTATGATGATTCATTAATAGCCATGTACTGAGTTCATATTCTTCAATCCTGCAATTTTCTTATAGGTAACAGCCTTGCAGTAGTATACCTTGGTAAGTGATTCAGGTGACACGGATCTGTTTTACTTGATCATCGATACTCCACCAAATGAATTAAGGATTTTGGGGTACGTATTTAGATTATATCCCACCATGCTATCAATACCTGAAATTACAGATGCAAACCACATACCCAACCCATACCAACACCTGTTAGCGTGAACTGCATGAAGGTCTTGCTTCTCAACGAATTCATTACTCCATATAATAATAATTGCACCTTTCATATATTTCCTTTATGGATGGAATGAATGAATATTCCATAACTCCCTTTTAAGCTTATTCTAATAATATTTAGGCGTGCACCGCCACTGTATATATAGTAGCAGTTCCACCCATGTTCCTTTGCAAGGTTAAAAAGGAGTTCCTATGCAATCTCCCCTGCCAGCAAATATACAACGTCGCAATTGAAAGGAAAGGGAAACAGATATGGGGATGGGAGAAGAAGCACAGGAAGGTTTCGCAACGATGGCGAACCCTGGCAAAGCTACAATTCTGGCTCTCGGCAAGGCCTTCCCTCACCAGCTTGTCATGCAAGAGTTTCTGGTTGATGGTTATTTTAAGAACACCAACTGCGATGACCCAGAACTTAAACGGAAGCTAAGCCGACTCTGTAACACTATGAACTTCCCTCTCTTAAATTTGTGCTTATATTTTGATGCATTTGGCTTACTGGTTTCCCCTCCTCCTCCTCCCTTAAGGGATCTAAGGGTATCGCTATTCTTTTGTATATGCTGCCAAGTAGAAAGCGCTTTTAAACCTTCGCTAAAGAAACATTTCTGCGTCAACTAAACTTTGGTTAACTTTTAAAGTTGTCGCGTACAGATTATGATCGTCCACTGTCATTGTCCTCGTGGACATCATTAATTTGCATTCTTAACTGAAATAACGGTTATTTACTCATTGCCTGCATTTTGACGCTTTACAGGCAAGACAACTACTGTTAAAACAAGGTATGTGGTCATGTCGGATGAAATCCTGAAGAAGTACCCAGAGCTTGCCATCGAAGGCCTCCCCACCGTAAAGCAACGTTTAGATATCTGCAACAATGCTGTCACGGAGATGGCCATTGAAGCCTCACGAGCTTGCATCAAAAAATGGGGCAGGCCCATCTCAGACATAACCCACTTAGTCTATGTCTCCTCAAGTGAAGCTCGGCTGCCTGGTGGTGATCTTTTCCTTGCAAAAGGACTTGGACTCAGCCCTGAGACTCAACGGGTCATGCTCTATTTCATGGGCTGCTCTGGAGGTGTGGCTGGTCTACGCGTTGCAAAAGACATTGCCGAGAACAATCCTGGCAGCCGGGTCTTACTGGCTACTTCTGAAACTACCATTATTGGGTTCAAACCTCCTAGTGCAGATAGACCGTATGACCTGGTTGGTGTGGCACTTTTTGGAGATGGTGCAGGAGCTATGATCATTGGCTCTGACCCTGTTTTGAGCATTGAGAGGCCTCTCTTCGAGCTTCACACGGCAATGCAAAATTTCTTGCCGAATACTGAAAAGACAATTGATGGGAAGCTTACAGAAGAAGGTATTAGTTTCAAACTAGCAAGGGAGCTTCCCCAGATAATTGAAGATAATGTTGAAGGTTTCTGTGAAAAGTTGATGGGAATTGTAGGATTGACTGACAAGGACTACAACAACATGTTTTGGGCAGTTCATCCTGGTGGGCCTGCAATCTTGAACCGAATGGAAAAACGACTAGACTTGTTCCCAGAGAAACTAAATGCCAGTAGAAGAGCTCTGATGGATTACGGAAATGCTAGCAGTAACACGATTGTGTATGTGCTGGAGTACATGATAGAAGAGAGCTTGAAGAGAAAGACAGAGAGCCGTGAAGATAGTGAATGGGGATTGATTTTAGCTTTTGGACCCGGGGTTACCTTCGAGGGAATTCTTGCCAGGAATCTGACAGTACAAGAATAATGTCTAAAAAGCTGGTATCTTCCACTGTTATCATTGTGCAAATTAATTACGTGTTATAAGCAAAGGGAATCCTCCTCAACCATTTACCGTTCCGAAGAAAAATCAAAGCGAAAAAATTTATACTTTATACATGACTAAAACCTTTTTTTGTTTCTTTTCTGTCAACTGAATCATAAGAACCATTCTTGGTAAACAAAGTCCGGTTTCAACAAGAAAATTTTAGTTTGTAAAACAAGCAGCTTTGGCATTGGATTGTGTAAGGGACACTGCAGCCTTACTTTAAGCGTAAATTATATCTCGGCTTGTGCTATTTCTTTGTTTGTCTGCGGGAATCACGTTATCCAATTTATACATCAAATAGATTCTTCAAGCGAATTTGAGCATTTTGACCTGTAAACTTTAAAACAGAAGGGATAATAAATTCTAAATGTATACCACAATAGGTTGATAACAATCTAAAGCTATGGCATATACACGCTCCTCGGAACATCAAACGCCCAGTTTTCTCTTTGTATAATAATACTCTCTAATCATGAAAATTGAATACGCAAGCTCGAAAATTTCTTCCCTTCCAAACCATTCCGATAATAGCTTCAATTTAAATTGTAAGACGATCTGGGGCCAAAGCACATCATCTGATGCAGTTAAAAGTCCAAAACAATTAACTTAATATAAGCAGAAGATTAGCATTTGACACCAAAAATTAATCCATCTATGAAATGTTTTTAATATAAATAACCACCCAAAGTTGCTGCATCCCGAAATTTACAAAACATCCACTAATTCCCAGTCTCGAGGAACATGTCGAGAGCAAAAAACCAGAACTTAAACAAGGACACCCAGTCACATTTGTAACCAAGTTATAGTTTTTGGCGCAGCAAGCCCATCGACCAAAGCAAAACAGCATCTTCACTTATACCACTCCAGAGGGAAGACGGAGAACAAGCTGCCCTCCAAAGACACTGCAATAATAAATGATCATAAAAGAAAATATTAGTGGTCTTTAGGTTGACTAGAATATATAGTTATACTTGCACATAACACATTATAGAGCTTAACCAACCTCTTGATATAATAGTAACAGAAGTCTGCTAAAATGAAAGTTTGAACAATTTCAGATATAAGAACCATAGAAGGCCACAATCCATAACCCAGGGCTACCAGCAAATGACCTCGACTGTCCAAAACCTGTTGAAAGCAGCACAGAATGAATTAATATATTAATGCAATCAACCTCATAACAATTCACAATAACACTTCTCCAACCAGCATCATACAAAGGTTTCCCCTCCACACAAAAATACAAATGTTAATGCAGAATGGAGCTCGTCAAAATGACAGCAATTGCCATCTAAAGGCAACAACCAGGCGCGTCTTATGCAACAGGCATTCAATTCAAGCTGTCATGTCCATTCATTATGCAGGCTCAAGCTATCTACTATTTCCAAAGCAGATAAATAGTACAATAAACAGACTAGTATCCTTTTAATGCTCAAACTAGGACTCAATTTCAAAATTTCTAAACATTAATAAAAAATTAAACGAAGCCAATCACATGAATTTTCAACTTCACGTCACAGGATCAAACCTGGAGAACCCAGTGAGCGCAGCTAAGGAACCTTGCAACACCCAATGCAAAAACATAATGAGCTGTGAAAGGCTCAACAATCTGAAATCATTAAAAGAAGATGCGTTAAAGAAGGAAAGATTATAAACCTTCTAAATTTACATCTACCCATTAAGCATTTTGTACCTTGGTATTCTGCATCACTCGCAACTGAGGTAAAACTGAAACAGCTTCCAGATATACACAGAACGCCCAGAAAATCCGGTTCAATAAATTATGAGAAGTTGATGGGTGAATAAGAAGAGCTAGTACTGCACAAGGTGCAACCTGCATCCAAATTCAAAAGCAAGGATATGACTTCTGAAAAGTGTTCAGAGAAAGAATCCGCTAGAGCAACAAAGAAGATAATCAAGCAGTTAACATGAGTCCATGCATAAGAACACAAAAAAGTAACACCTTTAGTAATTTTGGTTCAATTGGTTACTTTATAGTATTGATTGAATCAAAATGAATACAACAAAGTGCAACGTAACTTTCACAGTGGTATAAGAAACAAACAGCACTGAGAACAATGGGAGACAAACGAAAGCTCATATCACGGTCAAAAGACTAGCAACGAGTCAAAGAGCAACACATGGAAAAAAAGAGAACAAATCATCTCAAATACTAAGTAGATGTCTTATGACTTAACGAAAAATAAATAGGTAGATGTCTTATTTAAGAAATAAATTGAAAAGAATAAGATTTATATTTTCTAATTTGCAGATACTGAAGCCAATGTCAGAAATAATAATTTAACAATAAAACCATGGAAAGCACCTTATGAGATATAGAAACTAATTAGCATTTTGCCTCTGTAAGCATGGACATCTATTTTGAGGTTACGTACAACTCGGATGAAAGAGAATAAACTTACCACAAAATGACCGTTTCTTGACTTAGAAAAGATGAAAAGCAGAAGATAAAGCTCATAGGATTCACTACTATAACACAATAATATGTAGGACAGGGCAGCATAGATATATTTGCAAGTAAAAAAAAGTTAATATGACTGATGGAAACTCACAACATAATATATAGCAAAGTTGTCCTTGTCCTCCATGTAGCTGGACTTTAGTTTGAAACGGATCATATAAATAACCCACAAGGTTGTAGCCAATGTGGCTAAATCAAGTAGGGTGTGTATATCATATTCCATGACAAAGCTACAGTACAGCCTAACAGCTAAAAAGATAGCTGTTAGTTCTTGGGATTTAAGTGATAGTCCTGCAACCATTCAAAAAAATTATCAAAACAGGTCAATTGAATGTGTAAAACCAATATTTTCACCAATAAAGAATACCTACACTTCAGTTAAATTATAAAACAAAGTTACTCAAGAATCTTGTGTTAATTAATTAAATCACTTGTGTTTTGTAAACAAATTGCCAAGAGTTAAAAGACATACTACATGTTAACCGCAAACAAGTATTAGCAGGAAGCTTGTCACAAAAGAGAGAGAGAGAGAGAGAGAACAACTCCTTTTGCTCCAAAACAACCTTTATTTATCAATCAAGCATTCTTTTCATACATAAGGTTAAAAAAACCCTAAAAGCAGCATATTTTACATGTGCAATTGAATTTGCTCTAGTTACAAATAAAACAGACCAAACTCATAAAACTCATCAAACTGGGGAGACCACAAAAAAAAAGGGCTTCCCTTTGCATCAAGAAGAAATCCTTCATTGTAAATTGATAAGATACTGCAGTAAAATCATTAATACCACCAAAAAAACCCTCATATGTTCTAAGCATCAGAATTTAATATAAGAACCCTCAATAGAACAAAAAAAAAATCAAACTAAACCCAAAACCTGCCACAAGAGCACGATATCTCATGAAATTTTTCAACCTCGCTAATAGTAGCAGAACTCTTCCAATACATGGTAAGTAGATAGCATTAGGACAAAGCAGTCAATTTTATATATCATGCATTGAATTTATGTCAGCAAAAAGAGAAACCGATATCTTAAATTGAAACAAAAAAAAAAATCAAGCCAGATATTCAACCCAGAAACGGCTACAAAGCAAAAATCTACCACCGATCGGAAAGAAGTTGCCTAACCAAAACCTTTAAAAATTTTGCTACTTGACCAAGCTATCCCCTTGATGAATTTTTTAAAATTACTAAATTAGGGCAAATCACCCATGTATCATGCATTAAATTTAAGTTACAAATTAATCAAAAACAATTGCAATAAACAAATCAATTGGGAAAACATTATGAGCTTTGATGCTAATTACCAGCACAAGTCTTCTCCTTTGTGAGCTTATAGATAAGGACAGAAATTCCGATGGAGTGGACAGCCTCGGCGGCGACGAAAAGGTTGTCATGGTCGTGTACGATGAATCGGAGAAGAACAAGCGCCGCCATCCCCGATACCACCGCCAAAAAAGCCTTCACCTTCGGCGGCTGTCGTCTCACCCACATCGACACCGCGTGGATCGGCCTCCTCTGCGCCCTCATGTCTTCTTCTTCTCTTTTTTTTTTTTTTTTGCCGAGAAAGAGAGAGAGTGTTAGGGAAATTATCGGGATTTGGAGAAAGTGGGATTTTGGATTGTTAATGGAAGTCTGTTTTGGGTTTGGTTTTATATATTTTGTTTTAATAATAAAATCCTTTATGATTGGAATTGGGAAAAGAGAAGTGTGAATCGGGTGGGTTTTAGGGTAGCGGGCGAGAAATCCGGATCTGAATTAGATTAAGTTGGGTTGGGTGACCAATAATTAAACTACTTGCCTTCTCGTTGCCTAACTTCATAAATCATAACTTAACTAGTAAAATACTAAATGCCCTTGCATATATTCTAACCAATGCTAATAAATACGGTTTAACATTTCTCTTCTTTGTTAAACATCAACGAGAAGAAAAAAGAAACATGGTATTTTAATTAATTGTAAAATTGACATGACCGGGTTGACAATAATCTGCTAATGTTAAGGAAATTGACTCCATGAGGTGTACAAGAAACACAAGTCAAATCTCCGCACCTTTGAAGGAGTTGGGAGTTTCCTTATTAAAGAATCAAGACAAGAGAGTGGCTTACCATCCCGGTCCCCACAACACGACCACTCTTTTGTTTCTATCTCAGACAGGAAACAGCGCCCTTCCAAACATAGTTCCATCTGAAAGCTGTCTGAAAATTGAGTTCCGATATGAGAATTTGATTTTGATTTCTTTTCTTCCGTGTTAGACACCAAAGCAAAACAGGAAAAGGGGGAGAGATTGGAAGAACAGGCATGACGTATGGTGCAAATTAAAAGGAACATAATACATTCTACAAGGATCCAAAAGAAGAAAGGACTTATTGAGGTGTGCTTGTTTTCGTTCTACATGAACAGATGGTGAGGTCAAATGCTAGAAATTAGAATGGGAAGGTGCTTGGATGGTAAACAAGGCAACTAATCTAACATCACAAAGTCCATGAATTCGATCTTCTCAAGAGGGGTTTCATTTGCTTGTCTTCCTCAAGTGCTATCATACCCAAGTGAGATGGGTCTTCCAACAGCATCTTTGCCACCAAATAACCAGCAATGGACCAGGTTTGGACTTTACGCGATTGCTTCCCAATATATCGACCAAGCTTTCCATCATAATATTCAGGCCAGTTGTCCTTCAGCAACCTGGTTTCAGCTATTTCAAGGGCACGCCTTGCAATTTGGGGGCGTCCAGTCTTCACACATGCAGCTGTGAGCAGCCATAAAAGCACTGGAAACAATACAGCAACCAAAATGAATTCCAAAGAGAATATCTCATCATGAAAATTCCTAAATTTTAACTGACAGAATATAAAGCTTGAAAATTTATCCCACCATGTCTCTTTTATGAAGTTCAAGAATGTTGCAATATACCTCAAACATTATATAATGGAATGGTAAAGTTACCAAAGACAATAGTAAACTAGAATTGTCAAACCCATATCCTAGTAACTTCTTTCCAAAAGAAAAGAAAATTTTCAATTGAAATTTCTATAGAAAAGCTCAAGAAACTGCATAGTCGCAGCTGGCATATTATCATCTTAAAAATTTTCCACATAAAAAATCATTTTTCAACTGCCTAGTTTCGTAGTTTCACAAACGAACCTCAGCACTCTAACCTACAGTTTAGGTTGTCACTAGAAGGACCTATAATTTTAATACGTACCAGGCCATGATCCCCCATTGTGGTAACTCCACCTGGTGTTTTTGGGGTCACATCCTGTTGTAATCCGCCATTCATGATTTTCTATAGCTGGATAACAAACCTTTAATGGCATTTCTCCAACCAACTCCTCCCAGCGGGACTCTATAAGATCCATAATTGCAGTGGACTGTTCAGGAGTAGCCAACGATGACAGAATTGCAATGCAATTGCCCAAGCAGAACCAACGGAAATCCATTCTTGCAGGGCTAACATTACCAATAAAGTATCCACCACGAACTGGCATAAAATCAAAAATCCATTCAGGAAGAGAGTCAGGCATTACATTAAACTTGTTAAGCGCCGTGTGGGAGTACTCTTCTGTCTTATAACGATAAATGTCATTGAGCTGCTTCAAGTCTAGCCAAAAATAACTTCTCATGTGAAAGCTTAAAGCATGAAGGCGTTTAACTATTCGCTCTATGAACTCCTTTCCTTCATCATCTTGCTTGAGTAGAAGCAAAGCACACCTTAAAGCCATAAAGAAAAGAGCTTGGATTTCAATAGGATAGCCATATACACCCTGTAGACATGATGATAAGTATAAAGCTCAGCCCAGCAACATTGAAAGGTAAAATATGAACATATCAGTTCTGAAACTAATTTACATTTTGAAGAAAAAGTCAGCACATTCTTAGTGTATATGCACTAGCATTCATCAAAAGACCCCAAAATACAAGCATGTTATCGGTCTCAACCAGTGGAATATATGAACAATGGATGGTATACCACTTTCACTCTGGATCAAATAGTCATCACCACTTCAATGACAAAATTGGTTGTGGCCCATACAGCAAGTTATCTCAGAAAAACAACTCAGCCTTAAAATGTTTTGACATCTGAAGGCTGCTACTTCTTTAAGGCACCACTAGTCGGAGACAATTGCCACTGATGTCAACTAGGTTACTTCTAATGCCCATAACTAGGCTCACAAAGTCACTCTTATTTCGTATGCTTGATTAGTCTTTATTGCTATGGTAAATATAAGATGCAACTTTGACCAAACAATAGTCATCGCCACTGCAATTTAAATTATGGGACAAAGTTCTACATGATAAATTAGACAGAGCTCATTATATCTTAAATTCTAGAGGAATCACTATGCTATGCAATGCAGTGCAAGTTTCAAGTAGAACAACCTCTGTTTGATGCTAGTGCTATATGTATAACAGAGTCTATACTATGAAAAACTCACCATTCTACGATCAATCATGCAGCATCCATCAGCACAGAGAAGCGTTGGAAATGTGTCAAACCCCTCCGAGAGACATAAACTCAGAATTAGGCGCATACCCTTCTGACATTCAGGCAACTCAGCCAATGAAGTGTCTCCAGTAGATTTTGTGTATGCTCGAAGCAAAATAATCCACCAAAATCCAGAATCAACAGGAGCAACTCTTCCTATTGCACTCTCACCAAAATCTGCCATTAATGTCTCATTGTTCCTAACTGGGTCATGGAGCACTTTGAAACTAGCTGGCATTACTCCTTCTCCTAACTGAAATCTATCAATCTTTTTCTCCCATGACTGAAGGCGAAGGGTCTTCAAAATGAAGTTCTTTACTATTTCTGGTTCCCCATTCATCAAGAAAGCCAATCCGCTTGGGACAAAGTCTCTCACAAAGACCTTGCAGGAAAGAAAAAAAAAAGCAACCACATTTACAAACTCATCACAAACAAAAGCATTCATTGCAAACTCACAAAGTCAGTCTCATATGAGCTTCAAAATAAAATGACTGATAAAAAAACAAGAATCAACATAACAAAGGGAAAATGAAAAATGAACTGGATAAATTCAATTTTTAAATCAATAACAGGAAATAATATAATCAGATAATACAAACAGGAAAAAGTAAAATACTTCTACAACAAACAGGAAAAAGTAAAATACTTCTACAACTTGCACCATCCAGCAGTCAATAATAAAGGTCAGTTAGCACCTCCTTTACCCTAGTATTTAGAAGGAAAAAAAAGCATAAATAGTTCTAATGCTGAAGTATATGGAAATAGTGTCTTTCACTTTGGAATCAGGTACTGGTCCTTATACTCTTTTCTCATAAACCAACCACAGAACTGCAGAAAATGGAAAAATAGACAATAAATTCAGCTCATAGACTGAAATTTTTCACATGTCACCCCCATTTCCAATTCAATGACATAATCCTCACGACTGAGAGAACCAAATAGAGTATATGCTCATTGAACTGATATTGCTTCTGACTAAGATGGAGTTACAAGGAAATAAAGTATTCACCTGATCGTAGTTTAGTTTTTCTTCAGAATTATCCAATGCTGCAATAGTTCCGACTGGTTGACCACGAAAGTACACCAATGACCTTCTCAAGGCTTCCCAAGCTTCAGCAACCATCGGATGTGGCTCAAAACCAGTTTGTGACCTTGGTGTGTTAAAGCCTGACCTTCTACCCACTGGCGAGCATATAAAATCCAGTGGCTCAAATATGCGGGAAGTATTAATATCAGTAGCTCTAGCAGAAAGGCGTGGAGATATCCCAATGGATAAATCACTGAGGGACCTTTCATCAAGTGATCTCTGCCTCTCCATATTCAGAAGCCTTGGCGGCTTCTCTAACAACTTTGAAAAATCACATTCTTCATATTCAGCCAAGGTACAGAGGGTATCCTCGGTTTTCACATTTCCATTCTGATTCACATCCACAGTCGGCGTAGACATTTCTGATTCTTCTAAAATTAGTTAGACAAACTGCAGTAATCTATTCTGGTTCAGATGTCCTACAACCTGCAATCCATATAAACAGAATTCAAATCATTAATCACCTAGTTGCATGTTGGATTACAGTCCAAAGCTAATGGAAGCAGCTCATTACCTAACCTTTCAAGGAACAAATCAAAACCGACAAGGCCACAAAATTGCTGGATTGAACAGACGAATTAATTAATGATACGGTTAATTTAATTCTATCATCCTGCTTTTGCTTTTAACCAAACAGAAAATGAACGCATACATCAACAAATATCATTTGGCCAAACATCAAATAAAAACAATAATAATTTGCTCGAAATTCACATCTTAAGAGACATTTATGATTTAACCAAAACCGAAAAAGAAAACACAAAGAAACAACAAGAAACAATGAGTTTAAGATCAGAAAACAGTTATGCATGAATCAGATATGTTAATATTTTCGTCGTAAATCATATGAAAATATACGATGAGAAAAAGAAAACTAACCTTCCAATGAAAGTGGCTTAGAGCAACTTTAGAGTCATTCAAGGATCCAGGAACGAAAGAGAGAACAAGCTCGGTTTGGGGAGTGATGAAAGAAATATACTTGTAATAAAATATGAAAATATCAAATTCACCACTTGATGAATGATGATGGCTTATGCTATCTGAGTGGGGTCCGAGCACTTGACCGGCTCAAGCGGTAAACCTCTTTTGCAGGACT